TTCGATAGTTTTGGCCATCGAGACTGATATTGATAACCATGACATTGAGTTACGACATGATTTGATGACAGATGACAAAGTACCTCTACAATGGGCGGGCGATATGTAAACAACGATGTATATGAGAGACGAGGTTGCGATGGGCAGCGTGAGATCACAAGACGAACAAGTGAAGGATCAAATCAGGAACTGAATAGTGTCGGGATCGATCGGAATAAACGAACCCTAATCTTGACAAGTGGCTGATCTGAAAAACGCCATAACGGACACCAAAAACACTTCAAAACATGAAACTGAAGGCACTTGCAGCAACCACTCGAAATTCCGATCCCACGGAAGTTTGCCGAAAAAAATTCCGGCGAGTCACACGCCCCCATGCGCTGGCAAGTGAGATGCCCGACATCAACATTTTCCAACGCGAGCGATGTTTGGCCGGAGAGTGAATAAAGAGACAGTGAGATGGTTGGTGTGAGAGGTGAGATTTAAAGTGCACGTGATGCGTATCATAACATGTAAAGCCCAGATGACAACTCAAGTGAGGTTTCATCCCAAAACCAATTTGTTTATGGGATGAGTAGCTCAATAGACTTATAAGGTAGGCATATTTTCACTGTATAGAGGATGTAGGACAACTCACAAGTTATATTCTAACATTCTCCCTCACTTGCGAGTCTTTCATAAAAAACCCAAACCCATATATGGGGTCGGGCGCCCAAGCAATGGGTACGTCATCGCCAGAACCCATGTAGGCCGGCTCTGATACCATGTTACAAACTTAGGGTTTCTAGAGTTGATCATGGGCCTTATAGGCCTGGGCTTGATATACTTAAACAATTTTTTAACCAATAACCTAAAATAACAAATATTAAAGGCGAATTTGCACACATCTTACTCGATTTGCAAGAAATTGCAACTTTACGAATGATGGTATTTTAATTGCTTATGCACTAATTCATGGTGAATTAATTACGTAGATGTAGCATACCGTTTCCAAAATAAACAAACTCTCTCCCCTTAATTTAAGAATTGTATAACGGTTACAAAAATAAACTTAAACCCCTCCCGTTATTTAAGCATCATATGAGTTTTGAAGAGTGATAAAAAAATAAAAAAATGTATTGTAATATATGGTAGGAATATTATATCCTAAAAACTCTCTCCACGGCGATTTTTTTATTATCTTATCTATCTTCTCTATATTCAATTTGATTTAAATACAAATATCTCTTCATATAAATTTATAAACCACTATCTTCTCTATATTCAATTCGATTTAAATGTAATTGTCACTCCATTCAAATTAATAAACCACTTTTTTTGGGTTAGTGTATATATCCTAATAAACCGATCTTGCCGATTCTATCCCGTAATATATCCGAAAAAAATCAGGTATTATCTTTGTTTTGAAATTGATTTATGTATATAGGTAGTATATTTTCTAGGTTCTCTCAGATATGATTATATATATTTTGGGGTTTATATAAATATACCGAACATATATCGAACATATACATAACATATACTAAAAAATAACACCAGTCCAAGCGAACATATATCGAACATATGTATACCAAACATATACCAATTTCTAGGTTTATATATGTATATCGAATATATACCGAACATATACAGAACATATATTTAAAATATATTGGCTATACTGTTTAAAACCGCAACATAAAAACATATACTGAACTTATACTGTTTATACCTGCAACATATACTGCCGATTGGGCTTACGATAACATATATTGAAAAATATACTAACGCAACATATCTCACAACATAACAAATCAAATGAAAAAAAAAATTCTCAAAAAAGCTGAAACATCATCAATCATCAATCATACATACATTGAAGGGGAGATAGAGGGAGAGAGATAGAGAAAATCTGCCACCCAAATTATATATATATGATACGTTATATATACATATACATAAAATGATTGAGGTTATATTTAATTTTGAATCAGATCTCATTCTCATCGATGCCCATATACATACATACATATACATACAATTAATCCTTCTTGGTTTCATGTCCATTTTCCTCATTCTCATCTTCTCTTAAGTTTATCATGCTCCTGTCATCTCTTTCAGAATCCCTATTCCTCTCCTCCCTTCTTGTACTCGATTTTTCACGGCTTTCATCATCATTTTTGGTCTGCCTTTCCCTTCCACGCCTGGCTTCCGCCATGAACCCTAATATTCAGACTTCTGCAAGTGGGATGGAGAAGGAACGAGATGTAATTAATTATGGGAAGGAAGGGGCAAATCTAGTGTTGTTCGTCGGCAATGTCAAAAGGAAAACGAGAGGTTGAGAAGGTTAGTCTTACGGGCTGAAGTGAAGAATAAGAGAAAGGAGGCAGAGGGGTAGAGAGAGAGAGAAGAACAAGAGAAATAAGGAGAGAGAAGCATAATTTGGGGAAGAGAATTATTTGTTTCCTTAAAGATATGTAATTAATGATTGAATTCATCATTAACTAATATATATGTTTTCTAGTATATCTACAAATAAAAACATAATTTTAGGTAGAATTTCTAATATTTACTATAGATGTTTAATTGTGTAATATAAAATGAAATATATGGTGTAGTGAGTAATTTTCTCAATATTAAACTCCAAAGCTGGTGGCGGAGCCACACCTTGTGGCTGGGGTCAGCTGACCCCTATGGATTTCAAAATTTTTAGTATAAAATACTGTTCAAACACTGTTTACTAGATTAATGACCCCGCTAAAAAATATTGCCGACCCCGGTGAAATTTGAGGCTGGCTTCGCCCCTGAAAGCTGGGATCAAATTATATAATTATAATCAAGCAAAATTATATATATAGTCGACCGGATCCAACTGTGATTCATGAGTAAAACAATTCACCATTAATGGAATGTCTTATTTTACTTTAACAAACACACACAGTACCTAAAGTCTTGCATTTATTTATGTTTTTTTTTTTTTTTTAATTCCTACAAACAGTTACATCCTGCAGAACAGACAACTTCAAGATCCAACCATTTTACCTATTATTGTAGGGCCAATCCATAAGGACTGGAGGCAAATGATGGGTTGTGACTGAACGGCCAAAAAGTCCATTGTCCATTCTCGGCAGAATATTGTATTGCCCTCGGCCCACCGCCATTTCTTCGTCTATAAAAACTAGAGGAAATTACGTCTCACACGATCCCACAACATTTTATTTACACTTGGACGGCTCAATTAAACTCTATTGCAAAATTACAAAATCTATGCATTTTATTTGCAACCCTACGGGAATTTAAAGAGTTTAGAACGAATTTAATGGGATTAGTTACCAAATAGAAATCTGATCTCGCTTTTCACGCTTCACTACTCCATACCGACCAACGCTTCATCCTCTACGGCGGATGGAATGTCGCTGCAACCGGCGAGTTCGGCGACTGAAGAGAACGGCAACCGACGAGTTCGGCGACTGAAGAGAGCGAACACGATTGTGCGGCGGTCCTTTCGGCGCGTGAGTCTCGAATATAGTCGGACGACGTGCTCAGCCGAAGGCGGTGGAAACTCGAATTCTCGAGACGGAGATGCACACAGGAGGTCAATTTCTCGAGGTGGAAGACCGACGGATTTACTGCGCGAGCGTCGTTGGTGAAGGTGATGTCGGGGTGGCAAACGGTCCTCCACTCCAACACCGGTAACGGTTGTATCGTCGGGGAAGGAAGTGCAAGGTTGGAGCAATTTGCAACCTACTGTAGCGAGTCTAGATCGAAACTTTCGAATAGGTAGTACATGTTAAGTATATAGACAGTATATTTCCAATATATAGACAATTTATGTTTTGTATTTTAGAAGATTTTTATGGATATAATCGACATGATTTGTTTTCTATGGTTATTACGGATATTTTCAGTATATTTTCAATAATTTATGTTTGGTGTATTTAGAAGGTTTTATTGTTGGCGACGAGAATTGGCAAATGAGCAATTTGTGTTTTTTAGTTGATCATTGTCTATGTTGTTTTTGATAGTTTTCGTAATTATGTATATATTGCGTTTATAGATAATATATTTCCAGTATATGTTGTGTTTTTAAAAATTTTTATTTAGGCTTCCGGCGATGCCGAAACATTGATAATAGTACATAAACCAATCATATGTCAAACATAAACTATTTTAACTAATTACAACAATACTGATTACATATCAAACACTTAAAATATACAATACATTAACAACCATACACCCTACAAAAATAACAAACAATACTACTCGTTTTTTAGCTCATGATTATATTATGAAGTAAAAGTTTCACTTAAAAAAAAAAACTATAAATTGCAGATTCTGTATACGAAACATATACCTAGAATATATTGAACATAAACTCAACATATACGAAAAATATTCATTTGTCTAGTGACGTTTATCAGTTATCTCTCTTATATCCTCATCGCCACCATCTTCTCCGGCGACATCCGCCCTGCCGTTGCCAATTTCTACTTTAACATCATTGTCGTTCGTTCATTCCATTCTTCTGCTTCTGCCAATATCGTCGGCTTCAAGAAGGGCAAGAGATTAGCCGACCTGGACCCCTCAAACCCTACGAATCTCCCAACTCAGATCCTCCATCTCCGACGTCTTCTCCCTCGCCAGCGTAACCGAGGCCGAAGCCGATCGGGCTATCTCGCTCGACCCAAAGAAAAACACCAAATTCCAAAAAAATAATGATGTTTTATGATTTAAGTGATCACAAATTTCTGATCCAAAGTTTTTTTTTTTTTTTTTTTTTTGTGTCATGGTCGCGTGCATCACGGAAATAACAAAACAGATTCCGTTTTCTTTTGGTAACACAAGTCACGCACAAACACAATTAATACATATGAATTTCGTATAATTGCTATTATTTATCACTTAATCGTATCAATGCAAATATCTTAAAATCACATAGGATACATGTAAATAGGCCTAAAAACTAACTTCGCCTTTTCTTTTTAACTTTTCAGTTTCTTGTCAATTATAAACTTCCTCTAGAAAAAAGCCCTGCTACCATAAAACACCCTTCCATGAATCTCCCTCTTCTCCTTCTCCATCTCGATCTTTTTATCCGCATCGAGAATCGAATTCCTCGGTCCATCGATGATTATGGGCTTGTCCAAATCCACTGGAAGCTTCATTTTAGCCAGGGACTCTGTAAACTGTTGCATGCTCTTCATGTACATATCCACTATCTGCTTCTGCATGTCAGACCCCTCCGCCTCATTCCCCATTTCTTTTCTGTCCCTTTCCTCTGCAAAGAACCCACCTTTTTTCTCAATGGAGTCAGCCGAGGCCCAGTCGTTGCTCAAGCTCGTCATGGTTGAACTCGGCGGAGAGCTCGAATTTCGCATGCTCCCATCAAAAGATACTGACCCGGCTTGCCACTCGTGTGAGGAACTATCTGCCATTTCGTGGTCCTGAGCTGGCAGTGAGCCGAGGTGGAGAAATGACCCATCGGGCCATGGCCGCATGAAGGCCTGTCCGTTTTTCTCAAAGTACTCCGAGCCCGTTTGCTTGTTCTCGTTCACGACATTCGTATCCGGGACATTTTTATCTATCAAGAGTTCGGTAGCCACCTGGCAAGAATCAACTACTAATTCGGACAAAGAAATATCTTCGGGAAAATTAGTGGTAAGGCTCTCCGCATCGAGGGAGAGCGATAATTTTATAGTTCCAGCTGGCGAATGGAACAGGTCGGTCGATGAGAGGTCGAAAGTTCGGGTCACTTTCCCTTTACCTGAAACAGAGGAAATGGGGATCAGAGCAAAACCGAGAAGCTGATGATTCCATATCTCGCATTTTAAGACAGCGTCTGCCTGGCGGATTTTCATGATCAGCCTCTCGTTGATATTGAAACCCGGGTTTCTGCCTCTTCCGCCGTTGATGATCCTTGTCGAGAAAGTCTCGTCCGGGTTGTAAGTGAAGGAGAACTTGGCGTACACATCTTGGTTGTCGTGTATGCATATGTTGCGGACGTAGACTTGGAGGATGCCCGAGATGGATTGCTCGGATTCTTGAATTGTTTCGGGGTTGTACGTGAACCGGGCTGCCTTAGCTATTGAGTCCATTGTCTTGTGCTGTCCTGAACCTGGGAGAACACAGATCAAGAATAAGTGTGAGAAAAAGGGTAATTTACTATTATGAGAGAGTTTGGAAGAGGTAGATAGTGAAATTTAAGAAGATTCAAATACAATGAGACAAGTGGAGCCAGCAATAGGTGAGTGAAAAATTGGGGGAAAAATTTGAAGGAAAATGATGATGATGTGTTTTAGAGTTTTAGGTTGGTAAAGATGATAAATTGTTTTGATTGGCAATGCTGATAAATTATATTCCCTACTTACCTTCCATGAAAACTCTGTGCCATTCAAGATTTGTGGTGTGAAGACTTTACTTTTGGTTTAAAATACATCCTACTATCCACATGACACTTATAAATAAATATATAAAATGTTTTATCATATGCTGCATATATCAATGTCAATGCAAGAAATATTACTTCATATTACAAGACAGCAACTCATGACCACTAATATAATGTTGACTTGTTGCTTTTCCAACTGCAGAATATTTATTAATTTATTTTATATATATATATGAGATAAAATAAACGGTAAAAGAGGTTGGATTGCGTTTTTGTCTCTTTTGGTTGGTTATCTATGTTCTCAAATACTCAAGTTTTCAATGTATTTAGGAGTGTCTCTGGCCATACTCCTGATGATTGATGATGTTTTTGAGTTATCTAGAAGAAAAAAAGATCACAAATTTGATAAGAGGTGATTCAAAGTTGAAGGAGTCAGTGCAATTGTGCAGGATGCTTGGGGAGAAGCTCAGGAGGGTACACCTGTTGATGAACGTTTTTGATCAATGGTTAATTCAAAATAAAAGGATGTCTTGAGTGTGATTCCAATATACTTAGTTAGGGAAGGTACAAATTATTAACGTAGACATGGTTGAATAGAGAGAAAACCAAAAGTGATGCCAGAATACTATCGTGTAACCCCGAACTAGGTCGGCCCATTATTGTATTATAGGTAGGACTGATATGTATCTGAGTATGAGTCTATATATTGTGTATTTTGGTACGTTTTTCATCACCCCTCTGGTCTAATACAAGACTATTTATAGTAATTGTAGTCTGGAGATTGTTCATCAGATAGTATAGTATGCATTTAATCGATTGGACATTCACATTTAATGTCTCGTGCTACCCATTGAGTCCAAGACTGACCGACCGTCCAAATAGCTGGCAGAGATGTAATTTCTCATCATTAGGCTGCAAGTTGCCTTTATTTTATTGCTTTTTGGTCGGTATGCCAATCCGGCTCGGATGACTGTCGCTGTCTTGTTCTTAGTCTCGTTGCCTTCGGCGATTCGATCCTTTTATGGCTGATGGCCGGTGTACGAACCCTGCTCGGCTCGTTGTACGTAAATGAACTTTTTTTTCTCTTTCGTGGTTCCACTTTTCAAGTTGGGGGTTAACAATACCAACGTTCAGAGCCAAGAAANAAAAAAAAAAAAAAAAAGGTTGACTTTGTTGAACTTTAGCAACTCTATGATGATGTAGCTCAAGTTGCAAGACTTTCCATGAGATGGAGGAAATGAGTGAAATTGCAAAGAATGAGAACAATCAAGAAACAATTTGAGGAAGCTCAGTTCTTAGACGATTGTTTTTTAAAATAGAAAGCTAGAGCCAGTGGTAGAGGGAAGGAGATCAAAACTCCAAATATTTCCATGCATACTCACTTGTTCTTTGTTGATGACTCCTTGTTGTTTTGTAAAATTGATACCTGTCAAGCTTATATGCACATTCAAATTCTTGTGAAATATTAGCTTTTAACCAGAATAAAAGATAAATATGGATAAATTTTAAAATTTTTTTCAGCAGAAACACTTCAGTGCAAGATCATGAAAGTATTTGCAGAATTCTTGAAGGCATTAGAATGCGTAGATCTTCTAGATATATTGGGTTACCTATGGGTATATGGAAGTCTAAAAGGGAAGCTTGTGATTCTTTGTTAGATGTTGTGAGAAGGAGAATTAATAACTGAAAAAAAATTGTCTAGTGCAGGGAAGTTCTGATTAAAGCAATTCTCAATGCTTTTACCAGTCTTTGTGATGTCATGTCTTAAGTTGCATGTTAGTTTGTGTAAAGAGATTACATAATTGTGTGTCATTTTCTAGTGGAGCAACGGGGAGGATCATAACAAATGGATTCACTAGAAATCTTGAAAGTGGATGGCTTTACCAAATGAATGGGGACGGCTTAGATTTAAAGACATCAAGTTGTTCAATGATGCACTCATAATGAAACATGTGTGGAGAATTGTGTCACGACCAAAATTGATGGTGAGCAGGGTACTGAAGTCCAGATATTTTCCTCATTCTGCTTTTTTCAAGTTAAAAGGAATCAAAGTAGTTCTTGGTTGTAGAATAGTTGGATGACTATTAAATCGGTCTTTTAACAAGTGTTGAATATATAAATCAGGAATGGAAAAGAAAAATGAAGATTATGGATCATAACTGAGTGCCAAATCTTAGATGAGGAAACTCGAAATTAAAGCAGGCATACATTGTGATCTAGTTTAGGTCCAAGAATTGGTTGACAGTAGTGGGAGGAATTAGAATGCTGCTCTGATTAGGGAGTTGTTTAGGGGTGCAGACACTGAAGCCATTTCGAGGATTGAAACATTGAATCCAAACTTGGAGGATCAATGGGTTTGGAGCATTGATAGAAAGGAAAAATTCTAGTAGCAACCACTTATGTCAAACTCATAGTGATTAGGCTATTCAGATGGGTAGGGCAGAAAAAAGTGAGTCAGCAAAGTAAGACATAAAGGCTAGACAAAGAACTTAGAGGATAGGAGTTATGAGTAAGATAAAACACTTCATATGGAATTATTTTTCAGCGGTTCTGCATGTGAATGTCAATTTTAGAAAAAAAAAGAGTTGAGGTAGATTTGATCTGAAAGGTTGTGGGGAGGCAAAAGAGTATAGAGCATGAGTTTTGAAATGCCCGAAACCTTGGTTGTTTCAAGAGATGTGGAAACCAGAGCAGTGTATTGTCAAAGTGGTTATGACATAGTGGTTGGAGTTGAACTCGATTCGGACGGTTCTTGCTTCTTGAGGGTAAAAGGTGTAACTTAGATCTTTATCAATGGCTTTTGTTTTTTTTTTTTTCCTTGTGGTTTTTTTATGTTGGTTGTGTTTTAAAGTAGTTGGATGTTCCAGCCTTGTTTGTACTGCCTTTGGTTACGTTTTTGGTGTAGGGGTTATATTTCTTGGCATCACTTGTGTAGTTTTTGTTGGGAAAAATGTAATTATTGTTGGGGCGGTGCCACATGCAACCGCCCCACTTGAGAAAATAAAATAAAATAAAAAATTTAAAGATTCTCCCATCTTCCTCCACATGTGGAATAATGCTTCCTCCCATCTTCTCAAACGTTCCCACATGTTATGACAACCAATTACTATCATTTAATAAAATAAAATATTCATCCTTTCATCTATAAAAGACTATTCGACCAAACGAAGAACGGGCACAAAACAGAAGAGAAAAGGAGAGGAAAGAAAGAGAAAGAGAAAGGAAAGAAAGATAGATTTATGTCCAAATATCGGATATAAAAATATCAAAAGAGAAGAAACAAGTGATATTTTTATTTGTTTCAGAATATTTCTTTTATTACTAAGTGCTCAATTCTCGATTCCGTTCCCGTTCGCCGGAGCTCGTAAATTTGGTGTGCTACAGATTTAGAGACGATTGTCGTTGTATCTTTGGGGAAGTTACGCCTGAACCGTTAGCAGACACACGGGACGTATTCTTCTTGCGGAAAGAGTTTTACTCGTCTCGGCTAAAAATTTTTCTGTTTTTCAGTTGTATTTTATTTTTCAGTTCAATTGTAATTTTCTATTTTTAGATTATTTGTAAGAACTGAAAATTACATATCAGTTCGTAGGATTCCCGTGTAATTTTACACAAAATATCCAACAATCGCAAGAAGAATATCAGTCATCCTACTGAACTGATGGCATCCACCGGAGCAGGTTCCAGCTCTCAGCAGCTGATCAATCATGTACCTGTTGTCCATGTTCATACAGCTGAAAAGTCTGAAAAATTCAACGGGCTTGACTTTAAAAAGGCTGGGCCAAGGAAATGTATATCGAGTGCCCTTGTTGCTGAACACGGCCTTGTGCTGGGTGAATTGACCGATTTTGATATGTCGGCTGTGGTGTTTGAAGCCAATTTGGTGGATAACCTAAGTGAGTGGTTCATCGATACTGGTGCCACTAGGCATGTGTGTTCTGACATGGAGGTGTTCTCTGAATACACTCCTGCTACGAGTCAGAAACTTCACATGGGAAACTCCTCCACGTCTGATGTGGTCGGAGTGGGCACTGTGGTGCTGAAGCTCACTTCTGGAAAGGAGTTAAAGCTGAAGGATGTTCTGCATGTCCCAGACATCCGCAAGAATTTTGTCTCCGGATCACTTCTTGTTGAGCATGGATTTAGGCTGGTGTTTGAAGCTAAGAACTTTATTCTTAGCAAGAACAGAATATTCCTTGGTCGTGGTTATATCGACAAGGGATTGTTCAAAATGAATGTATTGGCCGTAAGCCATGTAACTGTTGATAATAAAAAGCCTATTTCTGTTTATACCGTTGAGTTCTCTGATGTATGGCATATTAGATTGGGACATGTAAATCTAAATGCGATAAAACGGTTGATGAAATTAGAATTAATTCCTAATTCTAAAGTTGATAAAGATACAAAATGTGAAATTTGTATTGAAGCAAAAATGGCTAAGTTGCCTTTTCACTCGGTGGAAAGAAGTACTGAACCATTAGGCTTAATCCATACTGATGTATGCGATATGAAAAGTGTGCAAACAAGAACCGGTAAAATGTATTTTGTAACCTTTATCGATGATTGCACAAGGTTTTGCTACTTATATTTGTTAAGAAGCAAAGATGAGGCTGTGGAAGCGTTTAAAATATATAAGACCGAAGTTGAAAATCAACTTGGCAGAAAGATTAAAATAATCCGAAGTGATAGGGTGGGGAGTATGTATCT